CCGCGATAAAGCACATACGCGATAAATGACGTCAGAAAAGCATCAGTACATTATAATCGGTTACGGTCTATTACTGAACCGATACCGAATCGCCCTCGTCTGCTTTGCGATGCATCGTAGGAACGATTAATTTTGACACCCCTATTATAAAGACCTATAATGAACCGTTCTGTGTTTATTACCTTAGAATGAGCCATTTCTATCTACACACACCGCGGGTCTTACATTACATTGAAATAGCCATTTTGCGCCGACATGTTTCTACAGTGGCCCTAAAGGGACAAACCCGTTTCATCACCATTGTTGTTCTTCGTGCAAGGTAGCAAGCTGAAGTCAGCGAATAAAACACTGACACAATGATGAATATTCACAATAACATATCGGGGTGATGATGGCGCAGTGGATAAGACACATGCCTTTGGTGTGAGAGACCCAGGTTTGAATCCATTGTGAGACACCAATGTTTCCCTGAGCAAGACTCTTAACCCCTAGTTGCTCCAGAGGCGTGCGATCTCTGACATACACTCACCGGCCACTTTATTAAGTACACCTGTCCAACTGCTCGTTAACACTTAATTTCTAAGCAGCCAATCACATGGCGGCAACTCAGTGCATTTAGGCATGTAGACATGGTCAAGACAATCTCCTGCAGTTCAAACCGAGCATCAGTATGGGGAAGAAAGTTGATTTGAGTGACTTTGAACGTGGCATGATTGTTGGTGCCAGAAGGGCTGGTCTGAGTATTTCAGAAACTGCTAATCTACTGGGATTTTCACGCACAACCATCTCTAGGGTTTACAGAGAATGGTCCGAAAAAGAAAAAACATCCAGTGAGCGGCAGTTCTGTGGGCGGAAATGCCTTGTTGATGCCAGAGGTCAGTGGAGAATGGCCAGACTGGTTCGAGCTGATAGAAGGGCAACAGTGACTGAAATAACCACTCGTTACAACCGAGGTATGCAGCAAAGCATTTGTGAAGCCACAACACGCACAACCTTGAGGCGGATGGGCTACAACAGCAGAAAACTCCACCGGGTACCACTCATCTCCACTACAAATAGGAAAAAGAGGCTACAATTTGCAAGAGCTCACCAAAATTGAACAGTTGAAGACTGGAAAAATGTTGTCTGGTCTGATGAGTCTCGATTTCTGTTGAGACATTCAGATGTTAGAGTCAGAATTTGGCGTAAACAGAATGAGAACATGGAACCATCATGCCTTGTTACCACTGTGCAGGCTGGTGGTGGTGGTGTAATGGTGTGGGGGATGTTTTCCTGGCACACTTTAGGCCCCTTAGTGCCAATTGGGCATCGTTTAAATGCCACGGCCTACCTGAGCATTGTTTCTGACCATGTCCATCCCTTTATGGCCACCATGTACCCATCCTCTGATGGCTACTTCCACCATGTCACAAAGCTCTAATCATTTCAAATTGGTTTCTTGAACATGACAATGAGTTCACTGTACTAAAATGGCCTCCACAGTCACCAGATCTCAACCCAATAGAGCATCTTTGGGATGTGGTGGAACGGGAGATTCGCATCATGGATGTGCAGCCGACAAATCTGTGGCAACTGTGTGATGCCATCATGTCAATATGGACCAAAGTCCCTGAGGAATGCTTCCAGCACCTTGTTGAATCTATGCCACGAAGAATTGAGGCAGTTCTGAAGGCAAAAGGGGGTCCAACCCGTTACTAGCATGGGGTACCTAATAAAGTGGCCGGTGAGTGTATATAGCAATTGTAAGTCGCTTTGGATCAAAGCGTCAGATAAATGTAAATATCGTTTTACTGAATAATAAAGTAAACATAATTTCTTAATTTATCTTTGTAAAGAAACCTCATTGCTTAACTGGCTACTCTCTGCTGTCTCAGACGACGACATCACTTCCTGTCGGCCACCAAAACTTCTGTTGGGTGCAATTCACAACCTCATCGCAAATAATCACGCACTGCACCTTTAAATAGAACCTTAAAGACAGGGCCTACAATTAACACTCGCCAAGTGCAAGTTGGCCGATAACATTTTTATGAATTCTACCTATGCATGAACGTGAACAAACATGAACGATGTTCGGGAGAGTTGCATCATTACGAAAGTTAAAGCCTTGACAATATTCAAGATGAAGTGAAAGGGAGCTCCTTTTGTTACTCGCATACATCCGTAACACACATCAGACTAAATACTAAACTGAGCTCTCTTTCACGTGTTTCCTCTTTCCTCTTTCTTGCACTTGAGAGGACAAATTCACACACAATTATGTAAAAAAATACAGAGTATCCTAGAAAACGTAGTCGGTAATGTGTTACATGCAACTGTTTACATTCACTTGTTTTAGTATCAGTATATTAGATCCTTGCATTCACTCTTAAAGTGACAGCAGCCTAATATTGCTGCTGCTGTCTGTGTTTTTAAATGTTACTAGTTTTGTAAGAATTAGAAGGATGTTTCCTTTATATAGTGAAGGCTATGTAGTGTTATTTTACATTTGCTTCCTTAATAAAATTTCTGTACCTGAAAACTAATGTTAGATCTACATGAATAACAAATTAAGTCATTTGCATCTGTTATATTGTATTTATTTGTGCTTTTGCTTGTAATTTGATTATTTGTTCTTCTATTTTATTACTGACTGTTTACTTGTCTTTCATAATGTTTCAAATTTGTATTAGGCTTGTAGTTTTAGCTGTGGTATTGCAATTGAAATATAGATTTGTTCAATTTCACTATCTAAAATTTTTATATCATTATTTCCTGTTTTTGCAAAAACAGTTTCATGGCCGGTATTGTTTTTAATTTTTTTTTATGGCTGTTACATTTTCTCAAGTCACCAGAAGTTTGGCAAAAAGTTTAGGCCCTGTTTGAAGGGTTCACACAGACACAAGTTCACCATAGTCTCTCTCTATGGGGTTAGAATTGTTGCATTATTCCAAATAAATAGATTGAGATTCACAAACAAATGTAAAGAGATTCACAAAAATGTATCAAATGTTAAATGGCAATTGACCAATTTAAGACAATCAGTTTCCTCAAATGAAGTTAATTAAGGTTTTAATTCAATGCTGGGTATTATCACAGTCACATACTGTAAAGTAGATTACTGTAAGGAACTGTAAATTGCTCTTGTTTTGATGTTTTTAAATGTGTGTTGTGTTTTAATAGCATAATTGTAGTTGATGATTTGTGGTGCTCTTGTAAATTTACAGGTTTACTGGCAATATTGGCAGTATTGCCAGTAAGTTACTATAAATTTGACAGTAATTTTTTTACCGTGTGTGCCAGGTGTCCCGGAGCTGTTGGGCCATCACGAAGGCCCTCGGGGTTGTGGCCGACCCGCTGCAGGAAGACTTGTTTCAGGTCGTCTTAAACCAGGAGGTTCTGGATGGCAGTTGCATTGATATTTGTGCCTACCCGAAAAGCAGTGTGATGAGGTGCACCGGCCAGTGGGCAAGCGGCCACTCACATGCCTCAGCAGTCTTCTCAAAGAGGTCCACGAAGGCCACTGGATTCACAAACATATGTAAAGAGATTCACAAAAAAATGATAAAACTCAGATTTGCAAAAAAAAAAAAAAATATATATATATATATATCACAAACACAACTCTGGGGCGGTAACTGAATCTGATTCATTTTGAAGATATTTCAAAATGAATCATATGTAGATATGATTCATTTTGATTCATTGATATGATTCATTGATATGTAGCTATAATCTATGCCTGGGTGCTTTATTCAAATTGAGCTGTTTGTGTGTTTAAAACACAGTGTTTCAGAAAGATTGTTGGAGTTTAAGGCTTATTTATATTTCCATCAGGATAAACTCAGGATTACACACAAATTATGATCATTACAGATCCCGAGCATCATATAACACCCTCTCTACACCGGACTCAAGCGGCGCGTCAAAAGCAAATAGCCCATCATCTTCCCTGCTGCCGTAGCAGTTTCAAAAAATGTAAAAATAACATGTTTGAAATGTTAACACATTTTGTCCATGATATCTGTTTTCTTACCTGCAGATATATGACGTGTCTATAATCTTCCTTATTGACTAGTGCTGGCTACATGATAATTCATAATTTGTGATGATGTCTACACTGGACGCGGCGCAGCGCGACACGATGATTCACTGATAGTAAACGGATGCCCGTTCTTCTTCTGAAGTAGATGAAAATAATGAGTACTGAGACAGAACTTGACCTTCTTACACTTGATGTTTACAACTTCCTATTGCTGACTCCGCTGAACCAACCCCCCTCGCCACAAACACTATTAAACGCTTATAGTCATTTAAAACTTTAAACATTGTGTTTCTGAGAAACTGTAAAAATGAGCCTTTGGAATCATAGAATTGTCTGTGAAAAACACCTGTAAAATAACACTTGATAATGAGTTTTATCTGTAGGTGTCTGTGTGTTCATGTGAAGCACGTGGGAAGTATTAGTTTTATTAATCTCTCTCTCTCTCTCTCTCTCTCTCTCTCTCTCTCTCTCTCTCTCTCTCTCTCTCTCTCTCTCTCTCTCTCAGGGGAAGTGGGCGTCTCAACACATTCAGCTCTTCATGTTAAACATGTAACCAGGAAAGAAACACTCAAACTCATCTGAACACACACCGAGAGCTTCAGAAGAACTGAATCTACTAACAACAGAGAAGATCATTTAATAAGAGAGAAGAATGAAGATCACCTGGACTTTCACTCTGATGATGATTCCTGGTAAGAGTCTGAACTCAAATCACTAAAAACACAAAATATTTGGTCTTTTCAGTCTTTTACTTCAGTTACTTCAGACTCTTGAAGAAAGTTAATTTCTGTGTATATTAAAGTATTTAATGCTGTGTTGTAGGTGTCGTGAGCTCCATGAGTGTGACAGGATATTCAGGAAGTGGAGTCAACATAACATGCAAATATGATAAAGGATCTACAAAGAACAAAAAGTATTTTTGTAAAGGAAAGTGGTTAGTCTGCAAAGACCAAATCAAGACTGATAGTAAAGATACATGGGTTAATTCTGGAAGATTCTCTCTGTATGACGACACAAGTTCAGCAGTCTTCACTGTGACCATCAGAGGACTGAGAGAAGAGGATTCTGGGAAGTATTACTGTGCAGTTGCTAAATTTGCAATAGATTCCTACACTGAAGTGAATCTGAAGGTTTTAACAGGTGAGAAACTGAGATCCTCAAACTCATGAAGATCTCCACAACATCACGATACTCAACACTGACTGTAATCACTGACGTTCACATGTGTAACTCATACAAGACGCCATCAATAACCTTTTTATCTCCTGATGTAACATTTACTCATAATCTAGACTTGCATTCATAAATGTTCCAGCAAAGTGAAAGATATGTGTTTACATTGAAAACAAAATGACAAATACATATTTTTTTTGCGACTGTTTTATTCTTCATGTCCTTCTATAAATGTGACCACACTAATTATGTTATACAGTTATAGTTATTTGTTCATTTCACATTCATATACTCATTACTGTTCTACATGAAAGCAAGACCTGCAGATCTGGATGTAGTTTGAAAGCAAGTTTTTAGTTCTGTGTGTGTGTGTGTTAATCTCGTATTACTGCAGTGTTGGATGTTGCAGCATTAGTGGTAACTTAGTATTACAGTTGTTAACATTAGTACAGGTGTGCTCATCTGGATGCTGTAGAAGTGCAGGTTTCTGTGAGTCCCTTCAGGCAATGTCATGTTCTGTGTGTGAAAAAAACATCCTTTACAATTTATATATATATATACAAATATTTCCAGGAACATCACCACCACCACCACCACCATCATCATCAACAACAACAACCTCATCATCACCACCGCCATCTTCGTCATCATCATCATCATCACCTCCACCACCACCGCCATCTTCGTCATCATCATCACCATCATCAGCTTCTTCTTCCTCATCAGTCTTCACAGGTGTTTCCAGACCTTCTACATCACTGGCGTCTCTAAACACATCATCAGGTGATCATGTGCTGAAAAACAAACATGTGATCAATGGGTGAAGTTTGCGAGGAGGCTGAAATATAAAAAATAAGCTAGCCTATATTTTCAACTCTAAAATAATAATAATATTACATTTAATACATTTTAATATGTAAAAAAAAAAAAAAAAAAAAAAATTATTCTAGTTAGCCCGAATCTGCATTTTGGTGCTTTGTAGCCTATCAAGAAAACAGCAATCTACTGTGTCCTCAGTGGCTCAGGTGCCAGGAGTCTATAGAGACTCGTATCTACTCTTATAAGAATAGGGGGACATCTGGAACTGCTTGTTTGGAGAGATTGTTTATGATTTATGGAGATTATAAAAAAAAAAATAGTGAGTGGATTTTCACCATGGTTGTTTACACACACTGTGGACACACATCTGTGTTCAAACACCTTATAAAAGTGAGTTTTGCAGAATAGGTCCCTTTTTAAGTTTTGTGAAGAAGGGCCACTGGTAGGGAACCTTTGTGATGTGTTTATAATCACTACGATATGGTTTTCAATTTGCATAACACTAACTGTAAAACATGTGTTTTAGGTACAGGGAATTGCATATTTTGTGTTTTGATATTTGGGATATGGTCATTGGGATACTTTTTGGGCTATTTTGGGTTTTTTTTGTAACACAGACCTGGCAACCCTGAAATCAAGTATCATGATCTCAATCCTACTCCAAACGTCCCATGATCTGATCTGATATTTAGCTCAGATGATCAGATTCTCAGATTATTTCTCCTGTGTTTTCAGGCTCTTCTATGATCGTCCCTCTGGTTCTGGTTCTGGTTCTTCTGGTTCTGATTGTCGCTGGACTCTTATTACTGTTTCTCTGTAAGAAGCGTCACTCTCCAGGTAAAACTCATAACTTCTTTAGTAGCAGAAACTTTATTTATACTGAGATTAAAACGTATTGATTTCTTGATCTGTTTTCCCACTTTTCGTCGCCACCTATTGTCTACAACGAGACATGAGAAACAGACAATTTGATGTGTGAAAACATTTACACAAGGCATAATTGTTGGAATTTGAATTACAGTAATTCATTTAGGACACTTGTTTTTGGCAGGTGGTGATTTGAATTCTCAGACTGGACCAGGAAAACATGAAGTTGTGAGTCCAATTACTATATAAAATGTTTAATTAAATGTCTAATGCCTTCCATCCTGACGATCTTCAGAGCTGTAAATAACTTCTCTGTCTCTCCTCAGGTTTCTCACACTGGTTGTGATTATGAGGACATTAAAGACACTCACAAACCATTACCCACAAACCCCTCTGATTCTTTTAACACTGTTTATGCCACTGCCCAATTACCCACAAACCCCTCTGATTCTTTTAACACTGTTTATGCCACTGCCCAATTACCCACAAACCCCTCTGATTCTTCTAAAGCTGTTTATGCCACTGCCCAATTACCCACAAACCCCTCTGTTTCTTCTGACACTGTTTATGCCACTGCCCAATTACCCACAAACCCCTCTGATTCTTCTAAAGCTGTTTATGCCACTGCCCAATTACCCACAAACCCCTCTGATTCTTCTGACACTGTTTATGCCACTGCCCAATTACCCACAAACCCCTCTGATTCTTCTAAAGCTGTTTATGCCACTGCCCAATTACCCACAAACCCCTCTGATTCTTCTAAAGCTGTTTATGCCACTGCCCAATTACCCACAAACCCCTCTGATTATTTTAAAGCTGTTTATGCCACTGCCCAATTACCCACAAGCCCCTCTGATTCTTCTGATACTGTTTATGCCACTTGTAACAAGTAAAATTAGGTACTGTTCCTTTAAGGTGGAACACACTCTGTTACTCCCTCACTGATGAGTGGGCAGTCAGTATGAGGAGTGTGAGCTGTGAACATCACATGTATGCGTGTAAAGCCTGTTTTATATTTATGTTGCTCTTACCCAGTTTTATTTCTATTCAGTAACGCAGTTGTTAGTGGAGTGTTTTGCAAACTGCCCCATGTGTCGGTGGGATTGATGACGTTGATAATACTGTAAATAACCTCTGTGGAATATCAGATGTGTGAGTCTTTGCTTACTGTCTAAAACCATTCAGACAAGCTATCTGGCCCCTCTGGTTAAAGCGTTACACACTGCCCAATTACCCACAAGCCCCTCTGTTTCTTCTAACTGTGTTTACACTACAGTTGATAAAGCCACTGGTGAGTCTCAGTGCTGCATCATCAGGCGAGGATTAACACACATGCTTGTGTATGCTGCAGTCTATAGGGGCCCCGCGTGTGCAGGGGCCCTGGATTGGCCAGACCCTTTTTTTATTATTTTAAATTTACTTCATTGGCCCATAAGAAACATTTTTTTAAAAATGATGATGATTGGATAGATGTGACATTTGGGTCACATCTGTCCAATCAGCTGCTGGTCAAATCTTGTCAATCGTTTTAATCTACATCACTGATGTCTGACAGAAAGTATGATAGTACAGCACAAAAACGAAAAATACAAAGGTTAAAAGAACAACGTGACCAAGATATAGATACTGAAAAAAATCCCTAAATTTGCTGGATAATTCAAGGTTTGGGGTGCGGATATCACGATTTATTATCTTAGGCGATTAAAATGTCTCCATGATCTGCTTTTGTAGAAATGACATAGTATATATATATATATATACTGTAATGCTACAGTGCATTCTATCAATTCAGTTCCCGTCTTAACTGTACAACGTGACGTACATTTACATCACATCTACATTAACAAAAGGTCATTATTTGCATGTGCTTTGCCAGTTAATAATTTCATTTGTGTGCTGATGCGCTGTTGTAATGTGTGCTTTTCTGAGCACGTACACCGAAGCACACTGGCACAGCCTATTTAAACCTTGTTCACTCATTCACTCAATGCGAAGTTTTGTATGTTGTTGCACTGCATTTTCAAATGGAAATAAAAAAATAAAATAAAAAAAAGTGGACATTTTATGCGATAGAGAGAGAGAGTGAGTGTTAGAGTTAGATTAGATATAGACAGAGACTGATCCCTCTGCGCTGTCCGAACTGAGTTGTTGACCAGTTTCGTGACGAAATTTCGAGGGGTGGAGGACTGGAGTGGAAATTTCGACGGAGAGTGGAGGACTCGTTCGGAGCTTATGGCGGAAATTCACCCACGGCCTAACGGAGGACTGATTCATCAGTGTTTTTGTTGTTGTTAAAGATTGCTCAGACTTGCAGAAGAAAAGATTTTTCGACCATCTCTTCCTCTTTCACCTGCACCGTCTCCTCCTCTGTCTCCTCCTCTACTACCCTCTTCACCACCCTCTCTGGGCCAGCATCCTCTAGCCTAGCCTTTTTAGGGGGCTTTCCTCTCAGGGCAAATGAGAGGAGGCTTAAGGCGAGACACGGCAGGCAAAAACATAGGGTTTTTTTCACTGGTCAATTTTGAGATTTCGGGATATTTGTCTTCAAAAACATGTCTTCTTTCAGACTTGTGGTGAAAAAAAGTCCGAAATACACATTTAGCTCTCTATTTTACTACACTTTGTCTGTTTGCGTCTGTAGATTTCTCATAAATTCGTCAAAAGTTGGCGTTGTAAATCATCCGTTGCTCCGCGATCGCGATCTGCACCCTGTCATCACACACACCGTTAGAAAGCTCTCTCTCTCGTACAATGTTGTCGGATCCAAATATGGTAATTTCCTTTTTAGCAGCAACCAATCGTGAAAGTAAAAGGGCGCAAATGCGCAATCTCATTGGCTGATGCTAAATCTTTAAAGCCCGTTTTCTCAAAATGACTGTTCTCTCATACTCAAAGTCCGAAATCTCCACTATATACACCAAACTTTCCAGTCTTGTACCTAGTTATATTATGAAGACATTTACAGAGGGATTTGTAAATATATTATTCCTAGCCCGATTTAAATAACATTTTATTCCAAAAAACATGGCAAAAATCTTTTTTTAAGGCTATTGACAGTATATTCTGATTTATAGGATAACAAAAGTAGATATCCATAAATCCCTCTGTAATTTTTTTCCCATCTAATATGTGAACAATAAAAAAAAGAATTTTGAACCTGGCTTTATCCAATACTCAGATTTCATTTTTTGAAATATATGCAAATTAGCACATATATTTAAGTAGATAATGCCTAATTTGCATATTTATACATTAAATTACAGAAAACTTGTAATACATTTTTTTCTCATCTTAATGTAGGTAATCAACTGGGAAAGTTTCATGGTGATATCTGCTATTAAAAAAAAATACCCTATTCACCTGTAGTGTCTTGCCTTAATTGCTTTTTAACTGACATCTTTGGAAGACAGATGCAATGATTAATGCATCCATGGCCAGGATATATAAAAGTGACCTATAACATCGACTATGCAATACACTTTAATTTATTTAGTGCTAATAAAATTATTAAGCCTATTTGGAGAGAGAGATGTTTATAAATGTGACAATATGTCAGTCATCGTGTGATAACAAAAATATGATTAGGCCTAGAGTACTTGTTCTGAGCAGGTGTTGTCAGTGAACAGGCTGTAAAACTTTTGGCTAAGTTACAGACACTCATGGAAAAACTGATGCTAATTATCTGGGAATCATTCTCTAACAGCAGTCAAGTTGTCATTGTTTGTGTCCGACACGTTGTAAATTTGTTGTAACATTAAAACAGGAGATCATGACTTACTCGGTGCTCAAAGTTATCAGTCAAATTAATTTTTACTTTGTTTATATAGTTTTTCTTTTTTACCCAACAAACATAAGGGTACAAACAAAAAAAGTCAAGTACAAATACAAAAATAAGATGGTTCTTAATAATCACCCTTTATTAAATGTATGAACACAGAAACTTAATGTCACGTTTCCCATTCCAGTAAAATAATCGCAATTTATTCTCTGTAAAATTGCGTAATACGCAGGCATTGCGTAAAACAATGTCTGTACTTTAAGGACCACCCATTGGTCCAAAGACGGAATCCAACGGCCTGGGCGGAGAGATAATGCGTGTATGTCTTTTCAGCGCTTCGGTGAAGTTCACTTAGGGGGCTTTCACACTGGCAGTTTAGTTCGGAACTGGGCACGGTTCGCATGAAAAATCGCTAATGAGAACGCTGTCATGGGACCCGGGTGCGCACTGGGGTACCGAACCCGAGACTACCTGGAGGAGGTGGTCTGAGTTCGGTTGCTCCCGAACCGTGCCGCGGTTCGCATGAATGTGAAAGCAGCACGGACTCGGGTGCGCACTTGTTCAGGAAGTAAAGTAACCTGTGCATGCATTTATAGCTTATTGTGATCTATTTAGTTAAATAAAACGCTTGTAAGGGATGATAGTGTTGATGATTTACCTTGGATACGAGCGAGAGTGACCCTGCAGTGTATTCGTGCATTGCGCGTGAAATCAGGGCACCAAATTTGGAAATCCACTGTCTCCTAAAAAGAGTCCGTTTGCAAGCAGCAGAAGGCCATGTGACACACGCACAGTAAACCTGTATTGTTCACTCAACTGCGCATAATAGCAGCGAATTAATAAAAAAAACACAATATTGCCCCACGTTCTGTTTTCTATCATGCGCCGTGCACGTTTGCGATGACGTAATATGCACGCAAACGCACCAGGGTTCGATAGAATTTGAATATAACCAGACCAACGCTGCGGGGGGCGCCGGGAACAAACGCGCTCGGGCTCGGACCGGAGCAAACGAGCCCAGTGTAAAAGCCCCCTTAATTTATTAGAATTTAGTTTCAATATTACTTTAGCTCTATGCTTAATCTGACTCCAATTTTGACTGATAATCAACTTTAGATCGTGTTTCTTATTAGAAAATAATCATAAATATTGATTATGATGTAATTTAGATCTTTGATTATTCTGAGCATCCCATACTATCAATTATTCATTCATTAAGGGACCCAATGCCGCACAGAGTCACACGCTCCAGGTTTACGTGGATCTCACGTAGGGCTGCACGCTTTCCGACCGGAGGGACTTTTGCAGTTCCTATACACTGTAAAAAAAAAATCCTAATTTTACAGAAAATAACTGTGATTTTTTGACGATCATTTTCTTTCATTTTAAATTGTACTCAAAACACTGTAAAATTACAAATAATATCTGTCAAATAAAAATTCAGCTGTTATTTGAGGTATTGTGACATTAATGACAAATTGCAGTAATTCACATTTTTTATACAGGAAATTGATTGTATTTTTCATGCAGTATTTTTTCTGTTTTCTTAAATTACATAAAAATGTATGTAAAATTACAAATATAATCTGTAATTAAACAGTAACAAAACAGTTAAATGATAAAACGGTCAAATGACTGGCAGGCCCAAAAAAACTGTAACATTAAAGTAAAAAATCCTAAATTAAATAAACTGAAAAGCACTGTGATAATTCAGGATATACCTGTAAAATAACAATCATATACCTTCATTGGAAAAAAAAAATCGTAAAAAAAGGGTCAAATGACTGGCAGCTATGGCTGCCAAACAAAAACCATAAAATTAAAGTAAAATCTTCTAATTCAAATAAAACAAAAAAAACACTGTTATTTCACAGGTATTTCCTGCATTATTATGATCATATACCTTCATTGTAAAAAAATTGTAAAAAAAAGGGTCAAATGGACTGTAAAAAAAAATCCTAATTTTACAGAAAATAACTGTGATTTTTTGACGATCATTTTCTTTCATTTTAAATTGTACTCAAAACACTGTAAAATTACAAATAATATCTGTAAAATAAAAATTCAGCTGTTATTTTAGGTATTGTGACATTAATGACAAATTGCAGTAATTCACATTTTTTATACAAGAAATTGATTGTATTTTTCATACAGTATTTTTTCGGTTTTCTAGAATTACATAAAAATGTATGTAAAATTACAAATATAATCTGTAATTAAACAGTAACAAAACAGTTAAATGATAAAACGGTCAAATGACTGGCAGCCCCCAAAAAACTGTAACATTAAAGTAAAAAATCCTAAATTAAATAAACTGAAAAACACTGTGATAATTCA